GGTGACATCGAACAGGCCACCACAGCTTCCAGGGAACAGGCTTTTGAGCAGTACAATGCTAGGGGAACCTTGGGGGGAGAAGATCTTCAGCTCAACTTAGACTGCGTCATGCCACGTCAAGAACTGCAGAGGGCGTTCTCAAGGTTGAAAAGAGGGAAAGCATCGGGACCCGACATGATCGTCAATGAGTTGTATATTGCTGACCCCGCGGGCATGGCTAGAGTGTATCACCCAGTTTTGGTGAAAGCAGCTATATGCGTACGCGAGCCCTGCACCATGAAGCAGGGTGAAGTAGTAAGCTTTTACAAAGGCAAAGGCGACCAGCGACTAGCGCTGGCACAGAGAAGCATCCTGCTCAGTAACGCCCTCGCGAAGGTCCACCACCAGTTCCTTCGGTCCCAGGTCTGGAGTTGCTTGGAAGCTTGCTTGGCCGACTCTCAGTGCGGGGGCCTCAAGGGGAAGAGCACGGATGTGGCCACCCACTGGGTGAGAAGCAGGATCAGGGCACAAAAAAGATGTGGTTTCTGCTCGGCTGCCTTTTTTCTTGACTTGCGGGCGGCCTTCTACAAGGTCATAAAGCAATTCATATTGAGTCTGCCTGGCGAGTAGGAAGAGCTCAGAGCTGCTTTAGATGAGGTGCCTATCCCCCCTGCTCTGTTCCATGTCACCAAAGCTCTAGAATGCGACCCCATCCTCGACAAAGCTATCTCGGACCCCCACCTCTTGGAGATGGCTCGGGAAACTCAGGCGGGAGGCTGGTGGAAGGTGCGTGGATCGCCGGCGTATGTAAAACCTGCCTTAGGCAGCCGTCCAGGGACCATCCTGGCTACCGACATTTTTAACGTTGGCTTTGCTCCCATTGTTAAATATATAGACCAGCAGATGCAGCAGGATGGGTTGGCATTGCATGGACACCACTGCCCACTGAGCTCCACTTCTCCACTGAGGAAGACCTTGAGAGTTCTGGGTCCTCGGTCTCATTTGTAGATGATCTCACGCCTGTGGCTGCCATTGCGGAAGCGGAGCAGGCCATCTCACGAGCCTCCCTGCTGGTGGACATCCTCTATGCGGGGGTATCCAAGTACGGACTTGAATCGAACGCCACCGAATCATGTTTCATGCTCTCCCTTGTTGGCCGCGGTGCCAAAAAAGCTAAGCAGGCTCTTGTACTTCAGGGGGGAGGGGACACCTTGACTTCTGTCCAGCACGGGGTTGAGGTCAAGATCGTCAGGCAAATTAAGGGGTTCGGACCCCTCCCGGTGGAGGGAGGAGGTGCGGGGCCCGAAGTGGCCCATAGGGTTTCTCAGATGAGGGCTGAACTTCGGCCCATCCAAGTGGCTCTTGGCAAAAGGAAGGCCCTTAAGCTGGCCACTCGCACTCGTTACACTGATGCTTTTGCTCTGAGCAAACTTTGGTTCAATTGTTGTGTGTGGGAGCCCTTATCCAACAAGTCTCATGGTAAGACGGCTGCTGCTCAAGCCTCGGCCTATCGTGCAGCGATGGGGGAAGCCCTCGGCGGCAATAAGGACCACCACCAGTCCCATGCGTCGGTACCGCATGCTGTCAGCAGGCTCAACCACCGCAGTGTACTTCGCGTTGCCAGGTTGAGATATCTCCCGAGGGTGCTCACCACGGGGCCGGCTGGCCTGAGAGTGGTTTTAGACACTCTGTGGGACGACGCTGAGAGTTGGGTGGGGGCTATGAGAGAGGATCTTGCTTGGCTCAACGCTAGGATTGACAAGCGACAGGTTCCAGGTGATGGGAGCAGTGATGACTGGATCAGCTTTGTTAGGGCCAAGCCGAGGCGCTTCGTCAACTTGGTGGTGGAAGCCGCCAGGCGAGAATTGTTTCACCAGCAGCAGCAGTATCTTGCGAAAGAAACTCTTAGGATTTGCCCAGCACACGGGCTACCTGAGCCCAGCGCTGGAGAGGAACGAAGTAGCTCCGAGGTAGTTGTTTTTTTGTGCTACGAGTGTGGATATGTGGCTCCGTCCGCACGGGGGCTAGCCATACACCGAGGCAAACAACACAAACACGGCTCAGACTGCAACACCTGGGCGGTGGGTACACACTGTCAGATGTGCATGACAGAATTTCGTTCTCACGGGAGACTTTGCAAGCATCTCAAGCAGAATCGAAGCTGCGCGCTGAGTTGGCATGCCATGATTTGCCACCGAGTGAATAAGGAGGAAGTCCAAGAATGGAGGACCGCCAGTGCCCAGCTGCAGAAAAAGAATCGGGGGGTGGGAAAACATGAGCACGTGGTTGAGAAAGCTGCCGTGAGGATTTGCGGACCTGTCAGGGATGAAAGACTTCTGCATGAAAAAGCCATCCGTGTGCAACCCCCTTCGGCGCAGCGGGAGGCCGTGGCTAAGTGCAACGTCACGCCGAGGGCGATGCTCGATATGCTAGCGCCCTTTTTATAATCGTTGGCAAAGGCCAGCGGCAGAGTGAAGACTTCCAGGCCAAGCTGGAAGAGGAGTGTGCAAAAAAGGGGCAAGAGATAATTGTGCTTCACTTGTCCTGGGAAGAGTGGGCCCTGCAGGATGAACGGAGCTGGTGCGCCAGGCTTCAGCAGGGCAAGCTTGCGGGGGGGGGCCTTTTTTTCTGCCTGTGTGCTGGGGAGTAAGGTCTGCCCGTGAAAGGAACGTAAGGTCCTTGGGGGAAGCGTGGGGGCTCCCGAGGCTGAATTCAAAAGAGAGAGAGGTTGTTGGTTGGGAAAATGCGGCCCTGAGGGGGGCCCTTGCTCTCAGTGCTGGTGCCAGCTTGCACAGAGTCCCTTGGATCACCGTGTGTCCGACGATGATGGGCCATCAACTCTCCTGTGCCAAAGTGCCCATGGCATCTGAAGTTCCTTTGCTTTGCAATGTCAGGGTGATGGAGCTGCATGCCTGCGCTTTTGGTGATAATACTTATCTTGATCCCTTCTCTCTTCTCCTCGTCCACCTTGAGTGTTTGACACAGGAGATCGGAGCCTTGGAAAGGGGGTGGGAGGTGCAGGGGTGGTCACCTGCACTGCAGCTGTGAGGAGAGGAAGGAATGTCTGAGCTGTTGCCTGCCCCCCTCTTTTTATGCAAGAGTTGCTGCTGCCTTTGCGAGTTCATGGCAGTGTTGTGCTCATGAGATTTGCGGTGAGAAGATTGCTGAGGGAGTTGGAGTGGACAACTTCTGGCGGCATCTTGATCCGTTTTTGTCCTGGGACTGACTGCCGCGCTCGCCTGGTCCGTGTTGCTTTGTTGGATGGGACCTCTGATGTCACGACAGCGATGCACGCACGGATAGGCTCCGAAGCGAGCCCTCCAAGTCCTTTTTCCTTGCCCCCCTTTTCCCAAACCAAGAACAGGCCACTTATGTACAGGCCTTGATATCGCCGAGCCGAGCCGAGCCGAGGAGGAGGCGGAGGAGGAGGAGGAGGGGGCCCATCGCCGATCTTTCGGCGGCGTATCGCCGACTCCAGGGCGACGCCTGCCCCCTGAGGCCACCCCCCCACTACCATTCCGCGGCGAGCGAGGGGGGTAAGCGAGAAGGAGAAGGCCTTCTCAGAAGGCGGCGGGGCTGCTCAGAAGCCCTCGCGCCTCCTGAGAAGTTGATTGCGTCTTCGGGGAAGGCTCGGAACACTTCTCAGCAGGCCTGGGAGCTTCCCAGCCTTCCCCCCCGAGCTCGTCGCCGACTCATTCCACCTTGTCCTCGTCGTTCCTGGCCCGTTGGGCTGCGTGCCGACCTGAGGCGGCTCTCGGGAGCGGTGCGGCGTCTGTCGTTGGCCACGGGCCGCGCCAGAGGCTCCGGTGACTCTTCGGCTTCGGCCCCCGGGCAGTTCCCCCCCGCACCGGTTCTGCCGGGAAGTGGCTGGGCAGGCTATGGTCCGAGGCAGGCGGTGGTGCAGGCGACCAGGAGGAAACAGTGAGGGCCACCGCGGGCGCAGGAGGGGCTCAGGTCTGCTGGCTGGTCCCCAGGGCCAGAAGGGGGAGCCCGTCCGTGGCCGATGCTCGCCGTGGCCAGGGAAGCCCTTTCGTTCCTCACTCTCAGCGTCCCTGGCCGTGCATCGACAGAAGGTTGCACCTCTCTTGCCGCGCACTGGCACCAATACGAACGTCGGTCGCTGGAGGTATGCATTGTTGGATGGCCAAGTCCCATTCTACTTTAGGCGCCTTCCTACTTCAAGAGTCCAGTGCTTGTCCCGCTTCCCTCCTCTTCAGGGGGGCGGGTGGACGCCCAATCTACTTCCAGCGCCTTCTTACTCCATGCTTTTACCTGCTTCTTCCGACCGACGGGTATTTACTGCATTGCTCCTCGCCCCCTTCCCCCCGGTCATGATATTGGGCGCATGGCGAAGAGCCTTGGGCTCCCCCCACGGGCTCCCGACAGAATGTTGCATCACCGAGCTGCTTCGACTCGCCCAGCCCGAACGCGGTATTGAGATCGAGGGAAGTGGGGCGGGGGTAGAACGAACGCCAGGTACAAAAAACGATGCGCATTACTACCCGCGCCCGGTGGTGCACCATTGTGTCGACGTGCCGTCTGGTAGCACGATGCGTACAGCCCAGCACCAGACGATCCACGGGCCCAAGTCGGAGGCGAGCGAGGGGGCCAAGTGAGAAGGAGAAGGCCTTCTCAGAAGGCTCGGAACCCCCCGCCTTCTGAGAAGTTTTCTAAGCCTTCCCCGAAGACAGACAATGTCTCAGAAGGCGCGAGGGCTTCTGAGAAGTTCCGCCGCCTTCTTCTGGAGAGAAGGCCTTCTCCTTCTCATTTCCCCCCCTCGCTCGCCGCCGATGGTAGCACGATGCGTGTTCTCCAAATCCTCTATTAATCGACCCCCCCCAAAAAAAACCGGACCTCCTCCAAATGCGACCTAATATTCTGGACCCCCTCTTCGACGGGGCGCCTTGATGAACTGGCCCCCTAAGCTCCAATCCAAAGAAAGCGCCCTACTAAACCGGACCCCCCTCATTTACCAAAAAGGCGCCTTGAAAAACCGGACTGGGGAAACAATTCATAAGGGATTTGGAGTAGCTGAGCACCAGATGATCCACGGGCCCCATCCCCATGCCTCCCCCCGAGGCCCCGGCGAGCAGCCGCAGCGCGCCGCGAGCGCCGTGCGCCGCCCCAGGGGTGGGGGGAGGTGGGCCGCGGGGGGGCCTCGGCGTTTTCGCCGAGGGGGCCTCGGCGTTTTCGCCGAGGGGCCCTCCCGGAGGGTGATGGACACGGACGCGGCGGAGATCGGGAGGCAACAATATAGGCCTCCTAGATGGGGTCCGAGTAGATGGGGTCGGAGGGTCGCGCCGCATCGCCGATGCATCGCGGATGCGGCTCGATGTGGAGCTCGATTCGCTTCACGTCGACGTCGCCGTTGGAGCGCTGGTGCATCGCCGATGCATGGCCGATGCATCGCCGATATATCGGCGATGCGGCGCGATCCTCCGACCCCATCTACTCGGACCCCATCTAGGAGGCCTCTACAGTCCCAGACCCCCTCGCGCTGTGAAAAAACACGACGGGAGGTGTTTCGTTATTTTTGGCTCTTGGGGGGCCCTTACCGGCCCTCGGGGCCGTCAAACAACGACTCGGGCTGAGACATTGGCCCCAGGGAAGGGGTCCAGACCTCTGGGGGTCCACCTCGGGGGTGATGGACGCGGACGCGGCGGAGACCGGGAGTCAACAATTGCATGTCAGAAGAGGAGATTACTGACGCTTCGCTTATCCTCACCAGCTGTTCCGCCGTCCTGGACACGCCTGTTGCCGCCAGACCATTGTCGCGCGTCCGCCGACCAAAAAATCCTCACCAGCCTCCGCTTTAGGTGAATTCGTTGTTGCGTGCCCCGCTTTGACTGGACCCGCCGCTGGCGCGCTCGCCTGCGGCCGCTAACTAAAAAGTATCCCCACCAGCCCATCCAGAACCGATACCCCGGCTAGTTGAGCTGATCATGCGGAAGGCTATTTTGACCCATCTTGAGCTATCTTAGGAGCCACCTTGGAGGCCATCTTGGGGTCTCATGAGGCCCTCTTGGGAACAGTTCGGACGCGGTGGAGATCGGGAGACGACAATCGAAGGTCAGAAGAATAATTCATTCCGATGCCGATGCCGGTGCCGCTACCAGTCCCTCGCCGCCATGCTGGATATGCCGAAACCGTTGCCCTTCCCTCGTGTCACGGATGCATCCGCCTCGGCATTCTGGTCAGAGCGCACCTTCGCAGAGGTCTGGGGGGGAGCGGTAGCGGTGCCTTCTCGTCCCCCCCTCAGGGAGGCGGCAATCGAAGCAGGAACAATCTCATGCACACGAGTTTTCAGAGGTCCGTGCGGACCTCTGGGTCGGCGCTGGACACCCCGGGCGGCGCCTCCTGCGCCGCCCCTGGTGCGCTCAGGGCGCGGGGGAACGGGTTCCAGCGCCGATCCAAGAAGTCCGTGCGCACCTCCGAGAGCCTTGGCCAAAACAGCGCTTGCAGAACTCGAAGAAGAATCCACCGCCATAAACATAAACTCTTGGCGCCTGGGCCCCCCGGCGGCGCCTCCGGCGCCGCCCCTGGCGCGCTCCGCTCGCCAGGAAGGGGGGTCCAGCGCGAATCCAAGAAATCCGCGCGGAGCGCCAAAATTGTATGTTTATGTTTTTTCTTCTTTTCTTCTAAGAACACCGCCCGTCCACTACGGTCCCGCTTATGATTGAGAAACCTCCCCCCGAAATGCTGGCCCAGCGTTTCTTAGCCAATTTGCGGGAAAGCCGGCTCAGTTTTTTCAGGGGGTTGCTCGCCTTGGATCCTAGAATTGAATCACGTGCGTTTCTGGCTCCAAAAGCTGGCCCAGCGTTTCCTCAAGAGACTTCTGAGAAACTGGTCCAGCTTGCTTCATTGATGACTTTCTGAACCACATTTCCGTCCGTACGTGATCTGCTGGGTCTGCCAGGTTTTCGGCTGGTGGGTGCCCGTGGGCGCCTCGTGGGCGCTCCGCCTCGTGGACTCGTCGTGCCGTGGCCGGGTCTTGCGGGCTCAGGACGGTGGCGGCCTCGTGGGCGCCTCCGTGTGCTGCCGTGCGTTCGGCCAGCGGGCGCCCGAGAGCGTGGCGTGGGCGCTTCGTGCGATGGCTCGCGCTGTGGGCTCGGACGTGTATTCGTTCTAGAAGCGGCAGACACCTGAGCAGCACTTCCACAGCAAGGATGCTAATAATATGAGAAGAATAGAAAAATGTGCATGTGCATATATAATATAATAATACGTTTAGGCAATTTCCCCGGGGAAAAGGTAGGGCATGACTCTCCACAGCCTGGGCTCCCCCGGAGAACCTGCGGTTCACTCCTCCCCTCCTCCTCCGTTGCCCGGGGGATGTGGCGCCCGTGTTCCTGTTGCCCCTCCTTTCGTTGCTCGTGCTTTCGCCCCGCAGCCACTTGGGTTCCGTTGGCTGATGTGGGAGCCTTCGGAGCCTTCGGACCCTGATTCTGCAGGCGAGGCCCGCCCGGGAAAGGGGGGGCACCGCAACAGGGAGGGGGGGGACGGCCAGGAAGTGAAAGATGTAGGGAAAGGGAGGCGAGGGGGGAAGGTATGGATAAGGAGGAAAGGGAAAGGAAGAGTGGCTTTGAGGGGAGGGATTACCCCAGCGCGACCCTACTTAGGAGTCGGACCCCCTACGAAAGCAGCATTAGTAGTAACAGTAAAGTTCACTGCTGGTGGCCGCTGCCTGGTAGCCGGGTAGCCCTTGCGAGCGCAGGCGGTCGCTCGCCCTTGGTTTGGCCTGGCCTGGCCGCGGGCCCAGGCCGCCAGCCCGAAGCCCAAGGCCCAACGCCTTCGGCTTTTTGGTCATCTCACCAGAGGGCGGCGCGCTCCCGCTCCCGCGATCACCGCGGGCCGCGAGCACGAGCGACGAGCGGCCCCCGACAGGTTGCCGCCGTCGTGGGGCCAGCGCTGCCACGTTGCCAACGTGGTCACATTGCAGTTGCAGTGCCGCCGCCAGCAGCGCCACCACAGCGCCCCGTCATTGCCGCCCCCCCTTCGGTCATTTATCTGGCGCGATCAGGGGGCCGCGCGCGGCATGCAGGCATGTTGCGCCTGGGCCTGCGTGCAGTTTGCACACCGGTGCAGCGCCTGATTTTGTAATTGTTGTCAATATGTCTCCCTCGTCTGGACATATGCGCCGCGCCGCGCCTTGGAGGGCCAGGGCCGAGACGGACGCGCTCTGTTTGTTTTGTGCAAGCCTTGGGACTGAGCGACTGAGCCCCCAGCCTGCAGACCTTCTGGCTGGCCCGATCCATTGCCGTCCATGGGCATTGGGCCATGGGGCCATGGGGGCATGGCATGGGATGGGCACTTGGCAATTGAATTGGCCATGGCGCCGCGACCGTGCCCGTCGGGCCGTCGGCCAGCGGTTCGTTGCAATCATCGGTTTCGGTTCCATTTGGCAGACCAGAGGCTGTAGTAATTGTAGTTAGTAAGTAAGTGCTAGGTAGCCCTTGCGCCTTGCGCCCTTGCGGCCTGGGGCCCAGCGCCCCAACGCATGTGACTTTAGCCGAACTTTAGCCTAACTTTAGCCCTCGGGCAGGGGCCGGGGCCGAGGCCAATCTGCTTTTTTGATTATCCTTGTCGCGCCGCCCGTTGGCGTCGACGTCGCGCGCGCTGGGGGCGACGGGCCCGAGGCCCCCCACGGCGTCGGGCATCGGGCGGGCCCCGGGCCCGGCCAACAGGCGGGAGGCCAGAGCGCAGCCAACAGGCGCGGAGCCTCCAACTCGGGAGCCAGAGCACGGCCAACAGGCGCGGGGCCTCCAGCCGAGGAGCCCGACGACCAGACGACGACGACGATGTCCCGCGCCAAGGCCGCCCAGGCAACGCCCGCAGAGGTTGCAGAGCCGCCCCCGGGAGGGGAGCCGGGGAGCAGATCGGGAAGCACGCGGCGAGGGTGCGCCCGGGGCGGGCGGGTATTTTTTCAGTTTCGGCGTTTTTGTATTTTTGCAAAAAATATAAAAAAACGAAACGCAAAAACTATTAAAATAGTAAAAAAATAGTTTTTCCCGCATGATTTTTCTATTTTTTATAATTATATAAGAAAAATACATCTCCCCGGGAGAACGCCTATTTTTCCAGTTCGCGCAAAGAGGGTGGCCGGAGGGATTACCTACTTTTCGGAGACCTGTCAGGATCTAGTTCCCCTTGTTCTCGGCCGTTCGGCTGGCGGCCCTCGGCGCTGAAGACGTCAGTGCTGGGGTGCCAGTTGGCTTGACGGGCCCAGGCCGCGCACTGCGGCGACGTTCTGCGCGAGGCTGGAGGGCGCCGGCCCCGGCGCAGCCCCGGCGAACGCCAAGCCAAGCGCAGTCGGACTCGTCGACGTCGAGCGCGGTCATGTCTTGCACCCAGAGCTTCTGGGCGGGGCATGGGCAGGCCCGGGCGTTGGCCTGGGCCATCGCTGGCGCCATGCTGGTTCATTCCAAGTCCAAGTCGCGCTCGGGCCGATCGGGAGATCCAGCAAATTACGGCACGGCAGACTGCCATTGTGCCATTGTGGCCTGGTGCATGTTGAGTCAGGATGATCCAGGATGGCTTGCTACCCGCAGGGGCGGTGGGTTTACCGTTTACCAGTTCTACAAGTCGGGCAGGCGCTGGCGCCACTGGGGCCGAACTCTTGGCAAACATCCACGCGTGCGGCATGGCAGGGGCAACGAGCTCGAGCTGGAATCCTCTGATGTGCCTTGGCAGGGTCAATGCTGGCAGCTGCTGGCAATGCTCGCAGTCGGGCAGGCATTGGAGTCGAACTCGGCGTTGCGACATTTTTTGTTTCGTGATGCCCGGTGGGATCCAGCGTGGCAACGCTGATCTCTACTTCGCTTGGAGGCGCTGGAACCGAATTGAGGCAAACCTCATGACTCATGCAAGTCGGCCTGGTGGGAGCAACGAACGCTGCAAATCCTTTCAGGGGGGCCTAGTCACTCGTCACTAGTCCTAGTGACCTAGTGGCAGCGACGCTCGGGCAGGCGCTCGAGTCGCATGTCGGCGACCTGGTTGTGGCAGCTTTGTAGCAGCAGCTAGCACTGCTGATTTCTTCATGGAGTGGGAACAGTGCGACGTGCTCTGGGCGCCTGGTTCATGGGTTCGGGCAAACCACTGTTTGCGCGTTTTCCCAGCATTGCTCCGACGTGCTTTCTGTCAAATAGGTCGCGCGCGTCGCGCGCAGTGCAACGGCAGACGCGACGGCGAGCCCGGCGCACGGCGGCCGCGTCGATTGTTCTGCTCAGGCAGGGGC